ATTATGCCAAGAAATTTGGAAAACAGCTACCTGGTCAAATGACTGGAAGAGATCCATATTTTTACCCATTCCAAAGAAAGGTGATCCCACAGAATGTGGAAATTATCAAACAATATCATTAATATTACATGCAAGTAAAATCTTATTGAAGATAATTCAAAAATGGTTGCAGCAATATACTGACAGAGAACTTCCAGAAATGCAAGCTTGATTCAGAAGAGAATGCAGAATGAGGGATATCATTGCTGATGTCAGATGGATCTTGGCTCAAAGCAAAGAATAAGAGAAAGATGTTTACTTATGTTTTATTGACTATACAAAGGCATTTGATTGTGTGGATCATTATAAATTATGGGTAACATTGAGCAGAATGGGAATTCCAGAACTGCCAAAGGGGTAGGGAGGCCACATCTTCCAACCTCCTCTAACCCCACAAGAGAAAGATAGAATCACCATCAGTAGCCCAAGGCCTATTCCTTTGAGGCCAGACATACTGCCTTCCTCCAGCCCTTTCATCAACCATAACACCAATAGTTTCTCCCACAGCACCCACCACCTCACTGCTGGGTTTGATAATTCATTGCAGTGGCCACACAAAACTCACAGATTATGGGGTTTATTAGGGAAGCACCAGGCTACAATTCAAGTTCAGGAAAAACACTCAGTCTCTCTCAGCCCACTGTCTCTCAGCCAATAGTCTCTCTCCCAGCAGTGTGTGTCTCTTAGGAGCACATGTCTCTCAGGAGCACATCTTTCTCAGCCTGCAGTCAGAAAGATTCCTTCTGCCTCTAGGAAGGTTTTTTTGAGGCTGAACCAGCCAATCCCCAACATCAGAATTCTATACACCTGAGAAAGTGAACTTCCCAGAAAATTACTTTGTGCTGCTCCCAACAGAAATACCCCAGGTGGATGATTTTAACAATCAGGAGGTACTCAGTTTCTCACAGCAAATTCCACCATGGAGTTTACAAAGACTTATGGCTAGAAAAACCATACCAGGTAATTTACTACACCCCAAGAACCCTTGATTATACTCATGAGGAACCTATAGATATACCAAGAGGCTGTCATTTGAATGGAACAAGGGGACACTGCATGGTCTAAAATTAAGAAGGGAGTGTGTCAGGGTTGTATCCTTTCACCATACTTATTTAATCCATATACTGAGCAAATAATCCAAGAAGCTGGATTATATGAAGAAGAATGTGGCATCAGGATTGGAGGAAAAATCATTAACAACCTGCAATATGCTGATGATGCAACTTTGCTTGCTGAAAGTGAGGATGATTTAAAGCACTTACTGATGAAGATTAAAGACTACAGTCTGCAGTATTGATTATATCTAAATATAAAAAAAAAACAAAAATCCTCACAACTGAACCTATAGGCAGCATCACAATAAATGGAGAAAAGATTGAAGTCAGACTTCACATTGGTTGGTTCTACAATCAATGGAAGCAGCATTCAGGACATCATATTGTTGTTGTTGTTGTTATGTGCCATCGAGTCGTTTCCAACTCATAGCAACCCCATGCACAGCAGAATGAAACACTGCCCGATCCCGCACCAGCCCCACAATCCCTGCTATACTCAAGCCCATAATCGCAGTCACCGTATCAATCCATCTCCTTGAAGGCCTCCCCCTCTTTCGTCGACCCTCCACCCTACCAAGCATGACATCCTTCTCCAGGGAA